AGTACTTAATTTTGGATGTCTCATATCAGACCCAATCGAGTATGTCAGTAGTAACCCCAATATTCTACTTTCCTACTCAGGATCAGAACATGGTCTGATTGGAGCTCACTCTAATAGTGATCCTCCGTGTGACTATGATGCTAAAAGTCTATTAACAAGTCTATCTTGCAGCAGCCAATCTAAGCCAGCCGATATTTACCTTGAAGTTCTGGGATTTCTAGCTCTCACAAGTAAAGTCTCTCTCTCTCTCTCTCTCTCTCTCTCTCTCTCACACACACACACACACACACACACACACACACACACACACACAGAACTCATTTTGGAACTTCAGTGGCTTCCATTTTGTTTCCAATCATCATGCCATGTCATATAAAAAAGTCATTTACATATAAATAGACAAAAAGCAAACTTCTTGCCCACTCACGTATCTTACCCCATAAGGCTGAGAAGGTAAGCCAAAGGTACCCCCAAACTGCTCATATGTTATTTTTGCCATATTTTACCATATATTTAACTTGACCTACTGATAGCTGCTTGCCTTATACTTGTTTCCCAAGTCAGCTGAAATCCTTACACAATTTCTAGCCCCATGAATGTTATCATTCTGTTCTTGCTGTATCTAGTTTACTTGATAAACTAGCTGGTTTCTCTTCTTTGCTACATTTCTTCTTAAAAGTTTAGGTACTACATTCAGTTTTTTGACCTTCCCATTGGTTAACCTACACTTCTCAGACCTAAGCTTCTCAGAGAATGTTCCTGGCTGCCTGGCTACTCTACCTCCCTTGCCAATACCTTGCTTGAGGAGGCGGCTTCACAGTAGCCAGCTTTGTGACCACTTACCCCCTTATGTCAGAGGTATTTGCAAGATCTGGCCCTTAGCAAATATCAAGAAGTAAACAAGTTAGTCAGAATCAATGAACTCCTTGGAAAATTTGCATTTGTTATGTCAGATTCTTTGTTATTTAGATTCTCTAACAAGCAAGCAACAAGCAAGCAATTCTCTTGCAAGCAACAAGCAAGCAAGAAGTTTATCTATTGCTAGCATAAGCAAAATTGTTGATATAATATAAGAATATTTGGATGTCCCATGGAACCCAAGGACAAGAAAGTGGCTGAAATTCATAAATAACTTGATCTAATAATTTATATTTTATCAGTATTCTCTCTGCTTTCTTGTTTCTCTCAGATTAGCTGTATTCTTCCCTGTTGCTATAAACTGGCTTTCTTCATATGGAAGAGAATATAGTATAAAAGGCAAACCATTTGCCTCTAATAGTATGGTTCACCAAAGAAAGATTGATTTTCTTAATACTTTATACTTTCAAAAATCCTTGCCTAGATTAACATAAAGAAAAAGCCTCCAAGCTTCTGATTAAAAGGAATTTTTTTTCAGATTTGTTATGAATCTTTTTCTAGCAAATGAAAATAAGTATATTAAAGGAGGAGAATGGAATCTGCTGAGTCACCACTGTGATTTAGGGGTCCAATTAAAAAGGATATCCAACATAAAGAGAAAGGGCATTTTGGGGCAGTGTGGAGTGTGGAGAAAAAGCTTAGAGGAAATCATCAAAGAAACTGGGAAATTGGTTTTTAAGATTCAGAAACCAAACTAGATCAAACTAGGCATGGCCTCTCTTAATTGCAAAAGTGAACAAAGAGACAGGAGCCAGGCTAAGCTAAGGGAAGATCTGGATTCATCAACTGATAAGAATATACTCTTGGGCCATGCCTGGTTGGTAACTACACTTGTTGTAGTACAAAGTGTTGTTGCCACTTTGGACTTTTGTTCTCTGCTGATGTATGTGTTGTTGAGTGCCTAAAAGATTCTAAGAAACTTCTGTTAAAACAGTCTGAGATGATCTGTGAGGGTCCTGGAGCAGAGCAATTGGAGAGTCTTTAGACAGCATGGTGTAGCAGTATGGAAGGGTAGTGTGTTATTTAGAAGACCCACCATGGCATCTCCTTGGCACTCAAACCAGGGAGTGGTCAATGTCAGATATATGTGACACACAATCACATATGTATGTGTTCACACAATCCACACATTCTGTCTGTTCATGCATTTTTATTGACTTTTAGAGATAGAGGTATTAATTGTGGCTTTTGGATCTTTTTAGCACCAAGAAGGAGTAATGAACTTGTCACATAGCCTCCAAATAGCATAGATCTTTTACTTCAAGATTCATAGATTCCACATCCTGCAGTTATGAAATTATTAATTACTATTTTATAAAAGCTGAATTTAGTTAAGTAATAGTGACCAAATAAAGTGATATTGGAAAAATAGTCACAGTTTTATTGGTAACATATAGATTTTGGGGTTATCTTAGAAATGCTCTACAAAGCTTACAGAGATATATTACTTGCCTTTACACCCTTATCTATACTTCATCACTACATTTAGCCAATAATTCCTAAATATTTACTGATCTCCTTCTATGTACCCAAGCACTGTGGAAAATTCTAGAGAAGTATACAATTTTTATCAGTTTTTAAACATAGAGTCTTATTGGAAAGACAAAATTTACATAAAGAAAGTGGAAAATAGCAACAAACATATAAAAGTTTTAAATGGCATTGCACAGGAAATGGGATTCTGTATAAAATTCACTCTCATAACACATTAATGTAATCTTTAAAAAGAAAAAAACTAGGACAAAAGTTCCAAATAAAATCAATACATATTTTTTTAACCAAAACTATAGTAAATAATAGGGGAACATACAAGTATTGGGTGTGATACTCAAAGAGTTTTCAGTCCAGTCATGGATATAACCCACACTTTTGTAAGTCATGGGAACCAAACAAAAAGAATAGGAAAGATCTCATCAAAACTAAAAACATAAAAATAAAATAAAAATACATATTAAGCTTTCATCAGATTGCTTTCAACATCTAACCTGCAATATCCTGAGACATCTCTTGCCTTCAGGGTGGTCTTTGCTTTGTCTGGGTCTCCTATGACTTTCTAGTGTAGGATTCTCATGTCACTGGAGGACTCTTGTGATAGAATCTCCTAGGTCCTGGGCTTATGGAGCAGCTTAATGGGGAAAAAATAAATTTTGACATCGGAAAGGCCAGTGTTCAGATCTCAGTTCTCATTTCTCTGAGCCTCAAGTTTTCTCATCTGTAACATAGGAACAGTGATAATAATGCATAGTCAGTATGGTTTTGTGGAGATTAAATGATACATATGCATATATTTATACATACTTAATAAATGGCAGCATATATGTAATAATAATCATTGCTTTATTGCCTTTGACGTGAGAGGTTGTCTTTGAACACATGACCTAATCAGGCCTTTTAAGTGCAATTATAGCCACTAACATAGCATTGAAATCTCTGGTATATAAACAGTTCACAGACCATTGAACAATATATCTTTACAGTAGTCAATCTTAAAGGATGTTTATTACTAATAATACTTAACATTAATACTGAAATTCACAGTTTACAGAGCATAGTCAAAGGTATCACCTCATTTTATCTTCAACCTTTTCAGAAAGTTGTTACTACTAATCTCATTCTACAAGAAGGAAAATGAGTCAGAGAGGGATTGTGCTCTTGCCCTCAGATCATACCACCAGGCAGTTGCTGAGCCTCCAAATCATGAGATCAGGAAGTTGCTCAACCAACCTTGAGCCCATGTCTCCTGACTCCAAACCTCATATCCTTTTCACTGCACCACAAGGCCTCTTAACAAGCATATTTTTGTTGTTGTTGTGGGATCCAGTGAAAAATGTCTTTTTCCAAAGCTCCATTTACCCACAAGATACTTCCCCTTGAGAATCATGAATATACCATGAATAACTAGTTGATCCACCATGTAGACATGGAGACCAGGTTTATGTTTACCATGCCCAGTGTTTTTGATTACAACATGGGAATTCTGTTTTGTAAAACCTGCTGGATTGCCATTTGTTTTATCATTTGATTAAGATTCCTCAGGCACAGACTGACATTAAAAAGCTGTTAACTCTGTTAACTCCAGAGGGCATAGCAAATGAAATTCCTCAAAAGTTGAGCACTTTCCAAAACCACCATGTCATATAGAGCAGCTTTCAATTAATCATGATGAAAGTATTTCCTTTATCTAAATGAAATCTGTAATTTGGGACAAAGATTAAAAATCCTTTGGGGGATAAAGGGAAAGTTGCTGTGAAAATTCTAGAAACTAAAAAATAAAGATAGGTCTGCTCAATATTCATGAAGTCAGACTGATGATACAAATAGAGATTATAATCTTTTATTTTCTAATGACTTGGCTCATAGCACTTCTATATCAGTTTTACACAGATCTCCACTAACTTTAGAGAGAATTGCTGCAAATTATATACACTTTTTTTAAGAAAGAGAGTTTAGTATAACCAATATGATTTTCTGCTATGTTTGACTAATTTTTAATTTTCTATGTAAGAATTTCTAAGGGATATGATTAGAGGTGCATAAATGATAAAGAAGAGATATGATATGGCATGCATACATAATAAGTAAACCTATGTATTGATAAGTGAACTCCTTTTGCCTTGAATCTTGCATACTCTCAAAAGACAGTTTAAAGCAAATAGCTATGAATATTGGTTTCGGTTTAATTTTACTTCCTTGAAAGATAAATCAAGTTTCTTTAGCAAAGTCATTTTATAAATAAATGTTACAAATTTTAACTCTCAACCAATTCATTAGAAATCCTTTTCTCACATGCACAGCACAAATCCTCACCTCCTACACTGTTGTGTAGAATTTAAGAGAAAATGAATGTAAATTCTATGAATGCTTACTTCCTTTCTTCATGGTGGTAAATGTGGCAAACAAATACTTGAAGTGGAGAAGAGTACAGGAACTCGGAGCCATTTCATTTACCCCCTAACACTTGATACAGTGCTATTGAGGTCCTCAAGAAATGCCTGTTGAGCTCTTTGTTAAATAAGTTAACAGAATCTGTATCAGAATACACTATTTGTTATTTAAAATTTTTTTCTACTTCTCTTTTTTAGGCCAGTCCTGCTCCTATAATTGTCAACACAGATACATTGGACACAATTCCTTATGTAAGTAACATTTTTAAGTCTTTCTTTAAAAACTATTGTAGAACTTAATCAATTGAATTTAAAATTCAGTACATATTTAGTTTCACCCAATCTAAATAATCTTATGAAATGATGTGTAGAATTGGTTTTGTGATTTTTTTTTTTGATATTTGGTAAATCTTGGTTTAGTCACACAAATATTTCCCTCTTTCATTCATGTTTTGTAAAGCACAAGGGCCCATAATGACGAAAAGTTGACAATTGTGTTCAAATAATATTAGTTTGCTAGGAGGTTCACTGGAAAGACATGAGTTGCTAGTAGCAGACATGGACAAACTTCTTTGGGTTTCTTACTAAAGGAATACTTATCAATTTCTGTGACAGTGCCTAGAACATAAAGTAAGTGATCAATAAATATTTTGATGCATTTTATTGGGCTTCTAATAAAAATTGGAGCAAATGTTTTGTGAGAACAATATCTATCCCTATATAATGAAATATAAGGTTTTATAAAAGCAAGGAGCATGAGATAATAGGACCAGGCAGATCAATGAAGCCTAAGATTCTGTATGTACAAAACAACCTTATTATAGCCAAAGTTCTTGAGGATAGAGTCTGGCTGGGGGCAGGGACGATGAGAGACTGGCAATAGGCCACAACATGGGTAAGTGGTTGACAGCATGGAGGTCCAGCAAGGCTTTGTGTGTGGGCCCTAGCTGATGAGTAGAGGACAGTGGTCAAGGAGAACAGGACAGCCACTGGTCTATGCAGACAGGGACTATGAAACAGAGAAGAAGGTCTGTAGTGATAACAGACAAGAACAAACAGATTCCCAGTCTTGGATTAAATTGAGTAAAGCAGGTGAAGTACTTAGAAAAATACCTGGCACAGAGTAAGTGCTTGGTAAATACTAATTATTCTCAATCTTGGACCCCAACCTCAAATGCCTACATGAACCATGGAAATCACAGAAACAAATGGCGCAGGTAGAGTGGAGACTGTGGGGAAAAGAAAGCACATGGCCCTCCTCGGGGGCAGCTGCCACTTGGAGCCCAGTGTTTCCAGACCATCCAGTTTTTCAAGAGAAGTTGAATATTTGAATTTTTATGTACATGTTTACAATTTCTAAATACAGACAGCTAATTTGTATAAGTTCAAATATTGTGTATGTCAAACAAAGTGTGCCTAGTCTGTAGGTTGCCTTTTGAGAAATGACTACCGCAAAGGAACTGGAGGTCCTGAGCAGGTTCTGCAAGCCAGCCGGCACCAAGCCACAGGGGAGCCAAGTGCTGGAACTGGAGTACAAGGCTGGGACTTGATTAGAAGAACAAGTGACTAAAACTGGGACACAGGGTCAGGACAAGAATAACAGAAAGCTTAACTTAATGCTGAGTCACCTGAACTACTGAACTAGGGCTTCTTAAATCTTTCTGAACAAAAACAATTTGGGGGCCTGATCGGAAATGGGGTTAAGCTCACTGGTAGAAATCAAGTGGCCCTGGCTGTGGAAAGTAAGTCTCTGTAGAAGGAAACAAAGCAATATATTAATATTAAAGTCATCTATGTCCACTATTCTGTCTCACTTTTCCTATCTTCCTTTACTTATCAAACACTTATATTGGGGTTACTGTATACTCAATACTGTTTTAAGCACTTAATATATTTTAATTCATTTAATCCTCATAACAATTCTATAAGGTAGGGCCTATTAATTACTCTATTTTAGTGATGGGAAAACTGATCATAAAAAGGTTAAGTAACTTGCTCAAGGACTCACAGTATGGGACAGAGCCAAAAGTTGAATCCACATACCCTGGCTATAGGGTTGAGGTCTTATTTAACATCTATCATGATGCTATTTATGTTTCTTCTTCCCCTCCCTGGTTTTCTCTCTCTTAGTCTGGGAACACAGTTTACTTACTTACTCCTTTGCTATCTGTAGATTTGGATGGTTGACCAACTTTTCACAGAGGTTTCATTGCTCTTAGGATAGGGATCCATGTATATATTAAGAAATTCTATGTCTCAGACAAATCTCCTTATAATAGCCATTAGCAAAGCAGGGGAGCAGTGCTTTGTAAAAGTAGACATGGAGCACAGAGGCTTGATTTTGTAAATAAGACCACTTCCTTTTGGTGGATCTATGTTAGTTCAAATCCTTCTATTAGGATTCTCATGGCTTAACTACAGATGCCCTCATGTATAATTTGTAAATAGAATCTAAGGATCATGTATAGATATGCTCAGTATTCCAACTAGTAAAATCAGCCACATCTAACAAATTAATCAAATTTCTCCCCTTCTTCTAAATATTAGCTTTGCATCAGACTTGGAGTTCTTTGAACAGTCTACTTACTGCAACCCACAGTGTGCTAGCTTAATAGTTAGAATCCTTACAGAGATTTGTTGAGCAGTTTGGTATCATGAAAATGTCCCAGTTTTTATCACAGTGTGTTCCTGGGCAATTCACTTAATCTTTCTGGCCCTAAATTAATCTATAAGACAGGAATTATAATACCTACCTCAGAGATTTTGTGTGTGAAATCATGCTTTGTTAACTTCTGGTTGATAGTAGTTTATGAATTTATCATTTTTCTACTAAACACTTAGGAAGTAACACATGCTAAACTCTGGGAGCATGGTACATATGAACATCTTTAGAAGGAATATGAATATATTATCTATTGAAAATGGCAGATTTAGCACACAGCCATTAATGTGGATATGCTTTTGTTCTTGGCATAGTACCAATTCTCCCCTTTGTCCTCGACTCACTGGGTAACCTTGAACAAATCACTGTTCCTTTCACAGTCTATTTTCTCATTCCCCAGTGTTCTATACTTTGTTTTCCTCTTTTCTTTCTCATGTTCTAGTTGTTCACATAATTTCAGCTCTATTTAATGAAAAAACGATTTCAGACTTCCCTAGGGCATTTTAGTCATGTTGCATAAGAATATTTTGTTTTTAATATTCTTAAAAAATATTACTGAAATGACAAATTTCACTTATATATTAAAGTCCTCATAAAAATAATTCTATTACAAATAAATGTATTAATTTTGCTGATTAGCAAATCTGATTTTAGATATAAATGGTTATTGTGGAAATGATTCCTTGGCACACATGCAAATGGCAATTGAATCACTAAAGGAAATTTCCAGGGCCAAAGGGAATTTTTATGCAAGTGTCTAATGAAAGTACAAAAGATATTTAAAGGAACATCTTCTTTTCTTAAGAAGGTAAGTTCAGAGACATTAGAGCTCTGCCATTAAAGAAGGGGTCACTGAAGTTCTTACGAGTGATGCCTCAAATAAACTCAGTTTGGATGATATTATGATATTTTAGGGTTGGGTATGACCTTACATGTGGCATAGCCAGCCTCTCATGAAAAACAGGAATCCCTACATGGAAATTAAAATCACTCAAGGAGAAGCAAGGAGAGAGAAAAAAATATCTTCCCATTTCCATATTCTCTAGTTTCTATTTTTCCCTCAATCTTTTTGTTCTTCCCCATTACGTGTTGAATATTGTTTTATGCCAGGTGTTGAAAATACTCTGTTTTTAGGGAGCTCAGAGTAATCAGAGCCTGCTTGTGATTTGTAAGCCCAGCTCCCTGAAGCTCGACTCAATCAAATGGTAGCATGTTACCCTGTGGGCACTCTGTAGCCAACTGACATGGAGCCCTCCTCTCCCTTCAGCAGACACTAAATTAAAGTTCTATATCAAATACCATCCAAACAAATCCCATTCTTCCTGCTTTAGAAAAGTAAAACGAATCAAAGATATTCTAGAATGCTTTATTCACCCAATATTCTCTAGTGTTCATTTCATAGTTGGGTAATATTCTGACCCATTTTCTGGAAATACACTGTAGGAAGTGGCATAGTTGAGAACAATGAGTTTTAAGTGTTTGTTGTTAAGTATCTTGTAAGTCAATTAATGCAAACCTCTCCTTTTAAAGATATAGATATTCTCTATCTGTAAATGATAAATGTCCACCATTTACCATTACCTCATGTATCATTCAATTTTTGGTGTATAACCAACAACCACGAAATCAGTGACACATAACGATACACATGTATTTCTCCTCTAAGAGTTTGCCAGTTAGAAGGCCAGCTCCTTCGAGATGCAGAATATAGTAGTCCCACCTTATCCATGAGTGATGTTTTCCAAGACCTCCAGTGGATGCCTGAGACTGTAGATAATACCAAACCTTATATATATATGAATTTTCCATCTTTATTAAGCACATATCACACACACTGTGGCTGTAACTTTTTCAGTTTTGCAGTTTGAGGTGCAACAGAAAAACTAGCATGAAGTTTCTTTTTCCTATTAAACAATTTCAGGGATAAAAGATTTATTCTTAGTGTAGATCTTAGCAACCTTAACATATGATTTTCTTTTCTCTTATTGAGTGTAGAACTTTCACCTTTTCATTTAAACGAAGTACTCTATGGTTTCTATTGACATATTCAAATTGTCAGCATTATTACTCACTGGGAAAGTCGATCTGATAACCCAGAGGGCTACTAAGTGACTCATAGGCCGGTAGCATAGACATTGTAGATGCACTGGACAAAGGGATGATTCATGTCCTGTGTGGGACAGAGCTGGACAGCAAGAGATTTCATCACACTACTCAGAATGGCATGCGATTTAAAACTTATGAATTATTTATTTCTGGAATTTTCTATTTAATATTTTCAGACCATGATGACCACAGGTAACTGAAACTGTGGACAGTGAAACTACAGAAATCTGGACTACTGTACCGGGTTGGCTGGGGCCTCTCTGTTTCATATGTTTTATTCTGAGCTCCAGGAGGTGGGACAGTAGCTATTCATCATATGTTATTCACATTATGATGGCCAAAGCATAAGAAGTCAAGCCCATGACACAAGCACAGTTAAATCCTCTGCTCATGTTACATCCACTAACACTCATTGGCCAGAGCAAGTCACATTGCCAAGTTCAAAGCGAAGGAAGGAGTGAATCTTTGCTAACCAGTAAACTGA